CAAGGATAATTGGCAAGCAGAAAATTTAGAACAACTAAGGAAAAGGATAGCGGATTGCTTCAGCAAAGTTGATATCAATCTTGTACAAGAGTTTGCAAAGGGTATTTTATCAAGAATGGATTCTATAAGAAGAAAGAATTTAATTGAAAATAAATAAAGTATTTATTTTCAATTAAATTCTTTCTTCTTATAGAATCATATTATAGAGAATTAAATGCTGATTTTAAATCATATTTTATTTTTTTAAGTTGATAAAAAATAAGGGAGTTATAACCCTTTAAAGTCAGTCCGGATTTCAAGTGAACACCCGTTACGTACAGCAAACTATATCGTTTTTCCTTTTTTATCCTTTTTTAAAATTTTATTATGATCATGATTTACTAACAATATGGATGCGTGACGACGTTTACTTCAGTAGAATATACAGTATTGGACAAAACATTTGCAACCAACATCGAACAATGCTAGAAAGTGTTCCAAATTTTACATGTCTTAAAAACGAAACGAACTATACTACCACAGCAAACAATTCAGGAGTCTGTAGTCATAGCATGCCATGACATAAGCAATCAGCTGACAGGTGACAGCACACAGGCAGAATTTCGTTGACAAGTGTCATTTTGCAGCGGACAAAACAAGTGCAACTTTTTTGGTTTGTTTCATTTTCTTAAGTCTGGTCCGTGTCAACGTTACGGAAGTTTTCTAATAATTAAAGGAAGTATCCAGAAGTTTTAGAAGTTTCCAGAAGCATGCAGAAGCTTCCAGAAGTTTCCAGAAGAAGCATCTGGAAGCATCCAGAAGCATCCAGAAGTATCCAGAAACATTCAGAAGCATCCAGACGCATCAAGAAGCTTCCAGAAGCATCGAAAAGAAGCATCTAGAATCTTCCAGAACAGGTTCACACAGGTTCATTTTACCATATGAGAGACATATAAACCGACATGTAATTTAGTCAGTATATGGAAGTCAATCAGTCAGTATTATCAAGACAGTTTATCGAAGTGAGTTTTATCAAAATGTTTTATCGAAGAACATCAATACAAGAAGCGAAATACAACAAGTGTTTCATTACATCAATACAGTCCACATCCAACCAAGACGTTGTGTTTCACAGAACATTATAGTATCATTACAAGGTAAATGTAACACGGTAAGCCTTGAGAAGCGTGATGATTTATTTTTATTATTTTTATGACTTCAAGAGCAAAAATGGCTCCCGACAGTCTTGGATTGGAACTAAAAAAGAAAATTGTTGACAATTACGTAAGTGGAATGTCACAAAAAGTATTTGTGATAAATATCGCGTAAAAAATGGATCGTATCAATACTATGGTCCAAATATTGTTCTACGGGGAAGTTGGCAGCAGATAACAAAGGTGGAAGACACGTTCCACCACTTCTAGAGAGGATTCTATGATCGTCAGATCCGTCAAGAAGGATCCCTGGATATCATCAGTCGAGATACAAAAGCAATTAGAGCTGCCATATTGGACCGAACAATCAGACGACGTGCTGTTTAAGCCGGATTGTTTTCTCGACGCCTTGCAAAGAAACCGCTAATTTCACTAAAGAACCAGAAGAAAAGACTCCTGTTTGCTACATCTCATATTGACTGAAATTTGAAGAAATGACGAACTGTCCTGTTCAGTGATGAATCGAAATTCAACATCATTGGGAGCGATGGCATTTGCCGTGTACGTCGACTGGCCGGAAAACGCCTCGATTTACGTTACTGCCATAAGACCGTAAAGCATGGTGGAGGCAATGTAATGGTCTAGGGGTGTTTTTTTGCTAACGGTCTAGGTCCAATACATCGAAACGATGGATTAATGGACCGTTTCATGTATAAAAATATCCTGAAAGATGTTATGTTACCTCATGTTGAATGGAATATGCCAATAAAATGGGTTTTTCAGCAAGACAACGATCCGAAACACACTGCAAAAGTAGTCAAGCAGTGGTTTCAAGACAACCATCTATCGTTGATGGATTGGCCGCCTCAATCTCCGGATCTCAACCCTATCGAGAACCTGTGGGAGATCGTCAACCGCAGAATTAATCGTGAAGGTGTTCGTAATAAGGATCAACTGTTTGAACAAATCCATAAGGCCTGTGCAGCGATTCCACAAAGTTTCATTGATCCCCCGATCGAATCTATGCCTCGAAGATGCAAGGCTGTGAACGGCAACAAAGGATTCGCCACGAAATATTGATAGCAAAATACAGCTTGGTCAACATTTTGTCGAGTTGCACTTGTTTTGTCCAGAAGGAAATCAACTTTTTTTAAAACTTTTGATTAATTTATTAATTTTCGTGTACAAATAATGAACTTTGTGATGAATAAAACTTGAAGAACGTTGTCTCTAAACAGTTACATAGTTATTTCTCTAAATTGAAAAAATGCAGCACTTTTTTGTAAAGAAACTAAATTAGCATTATTTGGTTGCACTTGTTTTGTCCGATACTGTATCTTCGTATTTTTTACATGGTCTTAAAAAATACTAGTCTTTAAAGAGTACATAACTTTTGTCAAATAATAAAATGACAATTATATTATAAATTTAAAAATAAAGAAAGTTTTGTATACTAATACAAATATATTTGATACATATAACAAAATATATTTAGTGATAATGGAAGTTTTTTCTATTTTAAAATTACCTTATCAAAAAAGTATTTAAAGTCTATTGAGTTAAAATCTAATTGAAGTAAGATTCTTTTAGAAACTGCTTTAAATTTTTTTAAAGAGTAGTGTTCTTTATTAAAGTTTTTAATAAAAATTTTCCATAAAAATTTTTCCAAATGACTGTTCATTTAAACGAGAAACATTTAAATTGACGGTTTGTGATGATTGTTCGCTAGGTTGCTGATTAACTAAAGACAAAATTTTATTTTTAAGCAAAAATGACTCGCCACCTAAAAATTTGCTCTTGTTTCGAAAATATTTTTTGCTAAGTTTTGATCGGCATTTGCATACAAATTCGAGAAGAGCTTTTTCAAAACAACTAAAATCATCATTTAAATTGATGGATACATTTAATTCGTTTTTGATCATACTAATATACTATTCTACAATTTGTCTTGACGTAAGTTGTGATGAAATAGTGTCTTTAATTTTTTCAAATACTTTAAGTCGAGTTATGTTATTAAACATTTTTATAAGATAACTTGATTATTTATGAAATGAAAGTTTTAATAATGCTACTTCAAGAGAAAATTTAAATATCTATAATTTAGTGTAAATTTATTACTTTCGGAACATTATTGCAATCAAATCGCTACAATTATCAACTAAATTAGTCTTCATTTAATCATATAGTATCATATAAATTTCAAATTTCAAGACAAATAAATTTGTTTACGTCACAATGCATTCTAAAGTAAGAATTAAATTAGCCTAAAATCTTGAAATTTCAGAATTGATTTTAAGTCTAAGTTATAGCTAGTCGCAGCTGATTTTATTTAATAGTATTAAACAACCGTTATACTTCCTAAATATCATTAATTTCAATTTCGAGAGAGTGGCATTTGGTTGGAATCGAATACTTAAATATTTGATTTTTACATATTTATAGTGAAATGATTTTCTTTTTTTTTTCCTTTTTAGAAAACATTAAAATAATTTAAAAAAGTTTATTTTAAACAAAAACGGTTCGATGTGTTTAAATAAAATTATATATATAAAAAAAAACTATATTCCTTAAACAAATATCTTAACTTTAAATTGGTCTTTTTATAAAAGCAAAAAAAGTCGTCGATTTTGAACTAAAAAATACATCATAAAGAATACGTGGTTGCAACTGGTTTTTTTTTTTGAACTGTTGTTTAGTAAATGCAAAAATCAGAAAATCTGAGTATAAGTATTTAAAAAAATTTTTTTTTTTGAAAATTCGACAATTTTTAAGCCATTATGAATGGTTCTAGCAAGCTTGCCTTCATCTCTAGTAATAAAACGGATACATTTTTGAGTAGAGTAAAGCACTTATGTTTCAATTATAAAATTAAAAAAAAAAATTAGAAGATTTGACTTTTTTGGGACTTATGGCCACGGAAAAAAAATTCTGGTCCACTGTGGCGTGCTTCAATCACCTTAATTTTTTTTGCAAAACATATTTTGACTTAGACAAGAACTTAACAAGTTTGGAACATTAGAAAATCATCCATTATTTAAACAATGTCTGAAATTACACATATTAAAAATCCAATTGGTTTCCCAGTGGTCAAGTGGATTTTCCCAACCCCCTTACTGCGCCTATAAGCAGGTTAAACACAAAAATAAAAAAAATATTATATTACTTTACTTAATTAAGGCTTAATATCCACATAAATACAACGATTATATTTTTGGCCACTTATTTCAATGAAATGTTTCCATTGTGCGGTGGATGAACATTTAACAAGGAAGTTAACGCCAACCATTGACCATGGTTTGTAACCATAGGTCAGAGTAGGCATTGAATCTCGGACATTTTATTTCTGAAGCAACCACTCTAACTACTTGACTCTTCTACGCCACAAGTGCTTAAATAGGAACTGTTACACGATATATACGAAATAGGAACTGATACACGATACATACGAAATAAGAAATGATGCACGATATATACGAAATAGCAACTGAATTACAAAGAATTTTTACTTAAACCCCTTTTTTTTATATTAAACCATTGCTGGATCAATATTTGTCCGCTGATAAAGAATTATCTTAAGTTAAAAAATAATATAATCCAATAATAGTGAACAATATAATCCAATAATACTGACGTTAATTTAACTTTTTCTCTCTCTCTCTTAAGTCAGATAAATATCTTATAGCTCGTCTTACTAGTTGCACCAGATCACTTGCAAATAAAAATTATTTGCAGAAATTTTCAGCCTATTCGTCAATTGAGTCGGACGAACATTATCAGCCAATTTCTTTTTTAAATAAGCGTGTATGCACGTAAATATGGTTAAGGGATTCTGAATCCGCAAAAAATATTAAAATAAAAATACATTTG